CAAATAAGCTTTTAAACTGAATAATCACAATATGGGTGCACCGGTAGCAGCTAACAGCGCGGCAGTAATACGACCGTTAGTCGATTCTCATTCGATTACAGTCCGCACATCGGCAAATAAAACCACGTTCCGATGTAATCCTATACGGCTCATATAAATATCCATTACTATGTCCGATGTATCGATTAATTCGCTCGGCGTAAGTTAATACCTACGTTTTAATTATACATGATCAATTAGAAACAAAATAGTTCAAATGGAAGATAATTACTTTGAACTGTTTTTTATTGTTAACAAATAATGTGTGGATAAGATATTTATTTAATAAAAATATGGTGTACTCTGTTACCGTTGGCCGTGTGGTCCCGACTTAGAATAGCCCACCCCTTCCTTTCCCGGGGGTGTCGTAATAGCCGACTAAGGGAGGGTGAGGGATGCTAAAGCCTGACTGCGGTTGTCTATCCGCCAAGCGTGGCAACTACTGGGAAAACCCCCCAAAGGGAGGCTTGCGTTCAGCAGTGGACAGTTAAAGGCTTGATGTGAAAGAAATGATGAAACTCTGTTACGTCCTTGTCTATAGGCGACGGTCATCAATTTCCATCAGGTGGGCCGTGAGTTTGTTTGCCGCTCTAAGTTGTATAAAAAATGGTAGATAATATGTTTGTAATGTCTTCATGGTTTATTAATTATAGTTACATGTGAATTTCACATAAAATTAGGTACAATAATTTAAAATATTTGTAGTAATTATTGGCATTTTATATTCATAATTATCATATATAAACTGTCCATTGCTGAACATAGCCCTCGACAATAAAGGCGGTTTTGTCAGCAGTTTCCAAGTTGCCAGTTTCAGTTAGGCTTTGGCAATGTTTTAAAGGAACGCTGCTGCCCATTTCTCGGCCATTGAGTTCCTTTAATCGCCTCTTACGACATCAACAGGAAAGGAAGGGGTAGCTCATTCTATGACGAGACCACACAGCATTTAATATTAATGCAATTAAATTAATCAGGGAGATATCTATGTTTAGCAGTGAACAGTTAGCAGTTGGATACTGTATATAGTAATATTAATGCATAAAACATACTTATTTCTACTTCATTATTTAAAAACGTTGCAAGTGTTCGAGGTTTTTATAAAAGAAGTTTATATAGCAACTTTTTATTATCCAATTTAAGACTTTAATAGTACATTACTGCAGCGGCCAGCAACTAAGGCATTGATGGACGAACATGCAAATGTGGGCCGAGGCGCAGCCGAGGCTCACATACGTGAGTCCATCAATGCCTAGTTGTGGCCAAGGCTTATATAGTACTTTTCTCAAACAATGCGCGGAAATCAAAAACACAATTTTACTTTTTAAGTTCAATGACGAATAACAAACAATAATAATTTTTCACGCGCCATAATGTTCCTTTGTTTTTTTTTTTCAATAAACAGCTTTCTATTTGCGAGCCAGTTCGAAATTTAAATAAAACCTTTTATTAGTTACCTCCTTGGTCGCCACGTTTCGAAGTAAAAGGTCATTCCATTTTTAAATTACAGGACAGATATGAGTTTACATAGTAATTTCAAACACGACAGATATGGATTTACATACAACTTTTGCCGGCCGCTGCTCGCATGTATCTGGCCAGTACGGCAATTTTGATTTATCTCTAAGAAGATTGTCAAATTAATGCTCACATTTCCAAGCAAGTTTGAGAAAAATATTTAAACACTATAGAAAATAGATTATCGATACACTACATAGAGAGCCTTTGTCCACAACAACTCGGTATGCAAGAAGAACGCTTAACTCTTTGTTATCCGAGATTCTTTATCGGAAGCCTCTATTCAGAATATTGGGTTGAAACATGAATATATTTATTTTCCCTTACGTAAACATTTTCATGAATATGCATGAACATAGCGTAGCTCAAGATCTGAACTTGAAGCGTTCTCTAAGTGCCATTTCGCAATATCTCTTTAGGGATCCATTGCTTAAACGAAAAAGTGGAAAAAAATATACTTATCACGCCACGCTTTTATGAGGTAGACAGAGAGAACCCGGTGCGATATTCTTGCCATATTAATTCCATTACTTCATCTAATTACTCCTCTCCATCCAAAGGTGATGCCTGGCATGCCTGAAAGTGATCGCTTTTAGCGATAAGGTCGCCCATTATTTTCTCATTGTGATTATTTCTTATAATTGTTTATATTCAGAATAAGTTTACTATTGTAATATTTTGGAGGGAATAATAAAGAGTACCTATCTATCTATCTAATTTCATAACTCAGTTTCATAACATAACAAAATTTCGGAATCAAGTCTCAAGACATTTGACTCCGGGATTATTCTTCTCTTAAATATAATGCAGTATATTTAAGGAAATGATACAATCATCATCATATCAGCTCTTAACTGTCCACTGCTAAATATAAAGAGAGTTTTGCCAGTAGTTGCCATGCTTGGCAGGCGGATTGGCAATCGCAGTTAGGGTTTTAGAGATGTTTTAAGAGGGACGCTGCTGCCCATCTTTCGACCATTAAGTTCCCTTAGTTGCCTCTTACGACACTCACGGGAAAGGTGCAGTTTTTTTTAATGGGTGAATGAATTTTTTTAATGGAATGGTAACCCCGCCCGCGCTATCGATATACACTGGCGGGGTACCAGTGAGAGATGATAGGTGAGGATGAAGCAGATCAGTTAGCCCATCGTGACGAATTGAACAAGAATTGTTCACGATGGTTACCAGGGGGAACCACGTGGAGGTCGACATAATAGGGTATATTGCTAGTAATGGGGATGTCAAACTCCACTGCCAACAATCCTTTTTCCCCCGGAAAGGTGTTGACCTATTCTATGCCGGGACCACACGGCGTAAGAATACAATACAACAACAATACTATGCAAAAAAGAAGGTATGTAGTAGGCGTAGTATATATATCGATATATAGATATCTGAATCTATATATTGAGGTCATCGTGACATTAATAACTAAATAATAGGACATTACTCATTTCGATACTGCCCATACCTGTCAGCCGTCTATATTTATATTGATCGGGTACTTTATTTCTATTACAATATAATACATAGATAGATAATTTATTTAAATTACTTACAGCACACAAAAAACAACAGACATAGTTAGACATGCACAGTAAAAAAAAAATAAAAGATTACATATAAAAAGGAAAAAAGAATATAAAAAGCATAAAAGAAGTAACGATTTTTCCCTTCATGCATGTGCTACAGTAACACCAAATGATCACAACTCAGCTTATTGCTTTGCCCTTAAAAGAGCAAAACACTGATATTCAGTTGTAGCCAATAGCCAGCCGCGAAATTTCGCAGAGAAAAAAAGAAATATATGTATATAAAATACATTGTGTGTGTCCATTATGTTCAGTATAATTTAATATTTTATTCTAAGTAAATAAATAAGTAACAAATACCATTAGGAGAAGGAATGTCAGAGGTCACTTTCTATCAATTTCAAGCACTTGTAAGATATTTATTTTAAATTATATCAATTTTCTCAAACATCTTATGTCAAAATGTGTACCTATATGTATGTATATTTTTAATATTTCATTATTGAAAATTGCTTAGCAATAAGACCGCCTTTTGTACTACACTATACGTATTGAAAATTGTTTTAATAAATCATGTTATGTTGGTGCAATAAAGTGTTAAATAAATAAATAAATAAATATATGTAAATATAATGAAATATTAAAAATGTTATTATACCAAATTTTGTAATGAATTATTCTTGTAATGTATATAAAACATTAATTTATATTTTAATTGATTTTATAATTATTTATTATCATGATACTTAAATAAAAAGTAATGAAATTGTAGGAACACGTGGTCTCACTGACTTGTTCACTCGAATTCGGCCCTATGGATATAAAAGATTGTTATTTGGGTGGGCAACACTTCTTGTCCAACCGTTGAACAGAGCAGAGCTCCCTGTCGTATCAAGAGTGAACAAGTATAGTAAACCACGTGGTCATTATATAAAATATATCACAATCATTGTTGATGGAAGTTCTAAAGAAGCTATTATTTAAATAAGTGTGAATGGATTAACAGAAGTTGGGTATTTATGTTATATTATTTGTTATATGTCATATGCAATGTAAAATAAATAAATATATGATTTAATAGTATATCTAAAATAAATGAACTGTGGGAACTTGTGCTTCATTTCTGTTGCTAAAAATATATATCATATACATGTAAAGTTACAATTACGTAATTAAATGATTATACAAATCTATTACCCTACAGTTATTTATCTTTTTTTGAGACACTCGAGCGATAATCATATATAGAGAATTCACCTCATTACCTTAAAGCCTGGATGGTTGTGTACGGTGTGGTTTCAGAGATATTTACTCCTACTAATGCCCAGGTTATGGAATAAGATCTTTGTCAAGGTTTTCCCATAAGACTATAGCATGAGATTCTTCATAAAAGTGGTAACGAGGTTTCTTCAGGGTCGGCAACGTGTGCGTAATATTGCAGACGTTTATAGGCTACAGTAACTGCATCCATCAAATGGGCCGTATGCTTTTTTTATGCACTTAGAACGGCAAACAAGCTGATGGCCCACTTGATGGAAAGTGGTAACCGTCATCTATAGTCATGAACGGTACCATGGACATAACAGAGTATACTGTTTCACCCATGGTTCCTCCCATACGTTGCCATTCCTGAGGACTTAGGTGTTATTTTTCTATACCCTGTAAATTCACTGCCATATCCCACCCTTCAAACCGAAACACAGCCACGCAAACACAACTGCTTCACGGTAAAAACACGAATAGGACAGAGGTACCCAAGTAAACAACTTTTGTACAGTCTCCCTCTGGTTGATGTTGCTACCTTGCTATCTCAGAGGTGTAAAAGAATTTTTACTTTTCTGCAAAGCAAACATTTAAATTTGAATACGTAAGTAAGTATTAAAATATATTAAAATATAATATATTTTATTACAGGGTGTGCTTTCCTGACCTACTTCAATCCAGAGAGTGCATCAAGCGCTCAGTCGGCGCTGCATGAAAAACGGACATTGCCAGGGGTGAGTTTTTTAATTTATACAGTAAAATATTCTTATTTGGCATGGAAAATTTGTAAATCGAATTATTCCAGGTAGTGATCTATTTATAGGGTAACAAAAAGTCACATTTTTTGAAAAAATAAATTATATTGTCAAAAAATAACAGAAGTTAAAACCAATAATAGATACGTGAAATATTGTATATTTATAGTACGTACCTTACGTTGGATTCGATATACACGATACATCATAACCTTCAAGAAAAGAGCATATTCATTTTTAAAAGGCCGGCAATGTCTCTAGTATTGCGGGTGATCATAGGCGGCGGTAGTCACTTACCTCCAGGTGAGCCGCATGCTCGTTTGCCCCCTGTGTTATAAAAAAATATTACTAAATGCTATATACAAAAATTTCTTAATAAATAAAAAAGACATAAAAGCTATTAATTTTAATACTTTAACATATCACTTTTATCATTTACACATTGTAAAATTATATAAAAGTAGATATAAAAAACTAATGTTTTCCGTCTTTTATACCCGTATTATAATGAGTGAGACTTAATGACGGTCAAAGATTGATGACTGATAGGGGAAGTCATAAAACCTCTAATAATAGTGGTCATTCAGTGTTGCCAGATTAAGTATTTCCTTTGTAATTGTGGGTAAATATTTATGTGTTGGAGGGAACAATTTTTTGATAGATATGGTAATTGTAAACTGTTTAATAAATCATATAATGAAGGTAACCAAGATTAGAAGAATTTTTCAACTACAAAAAGGGGTTTCTCAATTCGATTGGTTTTTTTTTGTTTGTTACTTCATAACTCCATCCGTTATAAACTAAATTGAGTTTTTTTTTTTTATCTGAACGATTATACTTTTAGATTAGTGGAATAAAATTTTTATCAAAATCCGTTCAGCAGTTTAGTTTTGAAATCAAAGTAACGAAAAAAAGTAAGCTTTTTCCACGACATAATTATTTTTTGTGAAATTCGTCGTTTACGTACTGATTTATATGGTAAACTTTATATATACCTAATAAACAAAAACATATGATTGTGTAAAGTGAAGGAAATCAAATCAATATGTAGAAAAGAATATTTTTATAAAAAAATTGTACCTGGCAACACAGTGGTTAGACCTTCTCACTGAAGGAATACAATCACTAATGCCATGAAAATCCTTGCAAGATCAAAAGATAAGCTTTAATCTTTCGATTATCGTTTATTTTCGCTATGTGCTAAATATATTAAATATAATATTGATAAAATTGAGTACATAAGAAAAGAGGACAGTATTGATTTTGTTAGACAGCAAACGACCTAGAAAAGTTTGAAATAGACGTTTTAAACCCATATTACACTTTTATAGACTTATGTACTGAAACAACAGTGTATGTGGCATACTAAATTATACCTCAATGTGTAACTATACCGTGATATTTATCTTGTTTACTTTCTGTTTGATAACATTCGAAAGCAGTTGCTTAGGACTAGGACTTTTATATTTGCTTCAAGTAGTTATATAACTGTTTTTATTACAGCATTAGCTTGAAAGATTCATGACTTAATCCTAATAATACATCTTTGGTAATTTCACATTATGTATGAATACATATGTCTTGCAGAGTAGGCCTTGTATTTACACCTTTTTTGTCATTTCTTTCTTGTCCTTCACATACAGCTACACTTTCAATACATGTTTTGTCTTTTCACATAGCATACTATACATTACCAGAGGAAGACTTTGTACACGAGTCGTTTGCTTGGATATATCTATCCGTGAAGCTTTTGCGTTTCGGTTTAAAGAGTGGGATATGAAAGTGAATTTACAGGGTATGGAGGCATAACAACTTAGTCCTCAGAAAATGCAATGCATTGGCAATATCATGGGCGAAACAGTCTGTGTTATGTCCTAGCTACTGCTCATGTCTGTAGGTGATGGTAGCCACTTTCCATCAGGTGAGCCATCAGTTTGTTTGCCATTCCATGTTCTTTAAAATTACTTGTTGTATTATTCTAATATATATTCCATATGTCACGATAAATAATTTTTTTGTCATTATTATATTGTCAATTTTCAAACTCTTTCCAATCTTAGGTTGAAGTCAACATAATTCGTAAAGCCATTACTTATAAGACGTACAACAATCAAGTTATGTCCTTTAAATTCTTCGAATGAAATAAGTGTAAGAACATGCAGTGATTTTTTCTTTTTGATGGGTGAAAATGGTATAGTAACCCTGCTTCCGCTAACGGGATACGCTGGCGGAGCACCAGTGAAGGGTGATAGATGAGAATGGACACAGGCCAGTTAGCCCATCATGATGAATTCATCAGGAATTAACCATGATAGTTTCCAGGGAGAACCGCAAAGAGATCGACCTGGTTAGGTATATTGCTAGCAATGGGACTCTCAGTCTCCATTACTAACAATCCCTTCCCCCCCAACATGCAGTGGTTGATTGTTAACCGTGAATTATTACACCGCACCGCGATCATTCAGGTATATTTCAATTTAGCAGAAACACTTGACATGGGTCCTTGTGCGCGCCGAATAAAGTAATTGTGCCTACAAAATTTAAGGGAACATAAAATTAACCACTACTTTATATTCTTGCCGTGCCGCCGAGTTCTGTATCAAGTAATTTTATTTAAGGGCATAAAGCGATTCTCGAATAATGAGTGTATCATCGTAAACGAGCCCAGACCCGACTGAAATGGCGTTTTTTCTGCTTTACATATAATATTCTCCCCTGTAAGCTTAGTGCTTATAAGACTTATCATGTATGACAGATAAGGTTTTATGTAGCTATAATGCATATTTTTTATGTTCTTCGTATAATATTTGTATGCGCCATAGGTCGTTGGGTAAATGGTAAAGAATGACACGGTACTGATAAAAAAACTGGAAGGACTCCCATAGGAGGAGGCCCATCCCATCATATAGGAGGTCTATGTTCAGCAGTGGATATTACATGGCTGATGTTTGATTAAAAAAAAACTGTTATAAAATTCAAGTATTCAATCTTGAAATAAGAATGTCAAGCCTAACCTTAGTCCACGAAAAGGAATCGTTGCAGATTTTGGAAATACTCCTGGTATCATATACGAGGTTTGTCCGGAAAGTACGTATAAAAGTTTTTTAAAAATTTTATTTTACAATTATTCAGGTAAATCAATTTTATCCCCTTCAAAGTACTCCCCCTGTGACATAATGCACTTGTGCCAACGCCGTTTCCACTGTGAGAAGGCTCCTTGAAAGTCCTCTGGTTGTAGGTTTCTCAGCTGCCCCGTCGTAGCTTTTTTTATCTCATTTATGTCCCCCAAATGCCGCCCCCGAAGTACCAATTTGGTTTTTGGGAACAAGAAGAAGTCACACGGGGCCAAATCCGGCGAATAGGGGGGTGTTCGGTCACCGTAATGGAATTTTTACTCAAAAACTCACGGACAACAAGAGAGGTGTGGGCAGGGGCATTGTCGTGGTGAAGAATCCAACGCCCCTCTCGCGCCAATTCTGGACGAACTCGTGCCACACGAGCTTTGAGGCGTCTGAGCACATCGACGTAGAATTTTCCATCAACTGTCTGGCCTGGAGGGACGAATTCTTGATGGACAATCCCCCGAACATCGAAAAAAACAATCAACATTGTCTTGACATTTGAGCGGGATTTTCTTGATTTTTTTGTTCGTGGTTCCCCGGATGTCTTCCACTCTTTGCTTTCACGGCCATTCTTGCCGAGTTTCGAGAGAAACTTGATTACGACGCGCTGCTCTTCAACGGAAGCGGGCTCCATGCCGACGGGGTTTCGTTAAGAGGTAACTTCACAGATGGCGTGACAAGCCAGTTCGCACCGCACGGCGGTCAGACCAGAACTGAAACATTGTTAGGGACATAAGGAAGGGGTCCTGCGCTTACCTGGCCTCCCCACTCCTCTTTCTCGCATTCCAGAACACTTTTATACGAACTTTCCGGACAGACCTCGTAAACTAGAAATATTATGTAATTAGAAGTTAGAATATAAGTCACAGGGAAAGTGGAATATTCCGGAGTATTGTATGAATGGAAATAAAATAATATATAGAATAAGCGTAGAAAGAAAATATATTTTAAATAATTTACCAAAAGATTGAAAGGGATTAGTTCTGAATAAAAGGCATCAAGCTAAGGGAGTCCTTTATAGGAAGAAATTTCCTAATTAAAATGGTAATTTAAACAGTTTATTATATATTAAAAAAAAAAAAAAAACACGCAACACATTTGGATATAAATAACAATATCTTGTATCTCGACAACTTTGTATGAGAGTTACAAGAAAACAGTTCTGGAAAATTTTAAAAATCCTATACACCTGGCTTTAAGGTAAGGTAAATAATGAAATTATTAAGACACCTCTTTTAGTACAGATCCCTAAAAGTCTAGTTTGGATAAAGCTGCAGGTGTGGCTACCTCAACCCTAGTACACTGTTAATGTTATCCTCAGCTCAAAAATTTGAGCGCACGCCACCCCCACTAAAAGGAATTTAATGATATGCAAATTCTCTTTTGACTTGTTTATTCACAAACAACACGATGTTAGGTTTTAAGACATTAACTAAAATTTAAAAGGATTATATAAGATATTTAGTTTTATTAAATCCCAATTTAGCAACGACAGAGTAGGAAGTAGAGTAGGAAGTAGAAATAGGCAATGTCTAGTTACTTGATGTTGTATAAAGCAATTGGAAATCTTTTTTTGGACTGGGTATTATTTTCCAGAAGTCCATATCGCTTGTCATTTTATTAGAGTTATTTTGTCCAATTCTGCTACCATTCGGCGGTTTGGATGCCAAACGGTTAACACTGACTCCGAGCAGTGATCTATTAATTTGTCTGAAGATGCCTCGTTTAGCGGTGAAACGCGTGTCGCAGAAATTGCGTGAACGAAATGGCAGTCGGAATTTGATGACTATTATGAAAGGTTGTACAACTTCTGGCAATAATAATAATAGTCAATCTTCAAGTGTTGCCAGTCGCACA